CAAAACAAGTTCTAACAGGGAAGTTTATAGCAATACAATCTTACGTAAGGAAACAAGAAAAATCTCAAATAACCTAAACTTATACCTAAAGCAGCTAGAGAAACAAGAACAAATAAACCCCATAGTTAGTAGAAGGAAAGACACCATAAACATCAGAGCAGAAACAAATGAGACACAGACAAAGGAAACAGTAAAAACATCAATGAAACTAAAAGCTGGTTCTTTGAGAAGATAAAAAAATTTGATAAACCTGTAGCCAGACTCATCAAGGAAAAGAGGGAAGAGAGCTCAAGTCAATAAAATTAGAAATGAAAAAGGAGAAGTTACAACAGATACCACAGAAACACAAAGGACCATAAGAGACTAATAAGCAACTATATGCCAATAAAATGGACAACCTGGAAGAAATGGACAAATTCTTATAAAGGTACAATCTCCCAAGACTGAACCAGGAAGAAATAGAAAATATGAAAAGACCAATCACAAGTACTGAAATTAAAACTGTGATTTAAAAACTCCCAACAAAATACCAGGGCCAGATGGCTTCACAGGTGAATTCTACCAAACATTGAGAGAAGAGCTAACACCCATCGTTCTCAAACTCTTCCAAAAGATTGCAGAGGAACACTCCCAAACTCATTCTGTGAGGCCACCATCGCCCTGATACGAAAACCAGACAGAGATACAACAAAAAAAAAAAGAAAGAAAATTAAAGGTCAATATCACTGATGAACGTAGATGCAAAAATCCTCCACAAAATACTAGCACACCAAATCCAACAATACATTAAAAGGATCATACGCCATGATCAAGTGGGATTTATCCCAGGGATACAAGGGTTTTTCAGTATCCACAAATCAATCAGTGTGATACACCACATCAACAAATTGAAGAATAAAAACTATATGATCATCTCAATAGATGCAGAAAAAGATTTTGACAAAATTCAATACCAATTTATGATTTTAAAAATCTCCAGAAAGTGGGCATAGCGGGAACATACCTCAACATAATAAAGGCCATATATGACGAACCTACTGCTAAAATCATACCCAACAGTGAAAAACTGAAAGCATTTCCTGTAAGATCAGGACAAGGATGTCCACTCTCATCACTTTTATTCAACATTTTTTTTTTTTTTTTTTTTTTTTTTTTTTTTTGCGGTACACGGGCCTCTCCCTGTTGTGGCCTCTCCCACTGCAGAGCACAGGCTCCGGACGCGCAGGCTCAGTGGCCATGGCTCCCAGGCCCAGCCGCTCCGTGGCATGTGGGATCTTCCCGGACCGGGGCACAAACCCGTGTCCCCTGCATTGGCAGGCGGACTCTCAACCACTGCACCACCAGGGAAGCCCTATTCAACATAATTTTGGAAGTCCTAGCCACAGCAATCAGAGAAGAAAAAGAAATAAAGGGAATCCGGGCCTCCCTGGTGGTGCAGTGGTTGGGAGTCCGCCTGCCGATGCAGGGGATGCGGGTTCGTGCCCCGGTCCGGGAGGATCCCGCGTGCCGCGGAG